ATACTGAGTCAATCGTCCGCTCTGAGAGGATAGATTTCTTACACTTATTCACGGCTAAGTGGCGACTCAAATGGCAAGAAATGCATCTAGTCAACAGATAAGTACTGCACTTGGTTATTTTCCGACGCAAATCATTCATTTCACGATGACTGTTGAATTTGAAACGAGCTTCGACCTGTCCATCATTGCAGTTCATCTCATGAAATAGTTACTGCCGATAAGAATCACAGAAAGGGTAGTGTCAGGCTTTACAACGTCAATTCGCTTTATTCGTCGTTACACATCAAGCGAATCACTTTCCATGGCTAAGGATAGACGTATTCTTAGTTTCGTTGAATCTCAGTTTCATAATTATCCTTAATGCACTTCACTTCAATGAAAAACCTCCCTTGAGAGCTCAAAAAAAAAAGATAATTCGCAATCTCATACGTGTTTAAATGGAAAACTAAGCGGTGCCCTACCACTAGAGATACACTTATCGACAATAATCAGCGCTAATCTGAATTGCAAATCGTAGAAGACTGAGCCTAACGGACTCCATTAAAGTGAACTTCAGTTTTATCAGTGGATACGCATCATTTGCTCGAGAGACTAACGACGCGTTTGAAGCGATACAAATTTGTACGCCATTCCCGTTTTGAGCAATTAGATCCATTCCATTTCATATTTTATTCCGCTTCAGTAACTACACCACCACAAACATGTGACTCGATAACGGATTAAAAACGAATAAAATTCCTCATCAATTGAATTTTTCGTGGTGGATTATTAAATTTTTAATGATTACTCATATTCTTTCCATTCGACGTTGTAAATTTGGAGAGAGCTTATGCTGACGAATTCCTGAATTTTTTAAATGTGTTTCTTCAGCGCCCACTGCCCACCCCACTGAAGTTGGAAGAAAAGAGGAAAACAAGATGGAAAGCGAAAGGAAAACGGGCAAGAGTAAGGAGATGTGACAGAAAAAAAAAACGGGAAAAGTAAGGATGGAGGAGGAAAGTAAGAAAAAATAAGCATAAAAAAGTTCCTCTCAAATTTTTTGACGAGTCCATTTTGTGTCCCTCTCCCTATAAAATGTCAAAGGAAAGGGGACGTAAAATACGCCACTTAAAGAGCTTGTCTATTCAGCCCTTGACTTTCTTCATATATCAATAAGTTTGTTAGATATTCGTTCGCGCACAATAGCCATTGTTGTCGGGTTGTGTTGTCGCGTTTTCAAAATTTTTATCGGACAATGAAGATTACACTTTCCAGGAAAGTGATTTTGACATTGTTCGATTGTCATTATCGTGAAAGTATGCTGACATTGTCTCCTTGCTTATGTTATTGATCCGGCGCATCCGCATTTCGTGACATTCAAGAATCTAAGTAGTCATTTCAACAGCAATAAGTTTGGAATTATTTCTTTTTCATTACCCTGACATCGAATTTTATTGGTCTATTACAACTTGAGTGTGATCCATTGATAACATCTAGAGTTTTCGACTATTCGACGTTGCTTCAAGTGAGCGAGTAATTATCATGGCTCTTGACGATTCGGTAGAATTTTATTGGTTGGAATCATGTGGTTGCCAACTGCTTTTTTGATAATCACACGCCAACATCATTATTATGTAATGGATTGCTCTTCTCGAAGATCTGAAAATGATTACTGACAGTAATCAGTTGGTCGAATGCATACTACTTTTCTAAACTCTACATAACCAATTCTACACTTCCTTTGAGCATCTATCGTTTCTTATTGTTTGTGAAAATATGGAAGAAAAATCAGAAAATTATCCACTGATCAAGAAGTCTCTTGATATCAATTCATCGTCGGTTGTGCCATAGGAATCCATTCGTTTGGATCAGACGAACGTTTTTAGAACATTACTGAACATTTGTGGAAGAATCTGGCGAAAATATCGATCAGCAATGAATCGGCAATCTCCTCAATGTCATTAATACCTCATCACATTCTCAGCCCTATCAGAAGCAGTGTAGTGGTACATAAAAGTGCCAGTGTGCAAATATGTATTCCGCTATAATTGAGTTACAAGTGCGTAGGGATTGCCCATCGAGCGATAGCGTTGATGAAAAGTGAATACATAAACTGATGCTTTTGGTCGATGCATTCCACGACTCTCAATGAATATGCACAAATTGTAATTCAATTTATTGTATGCGACGAATTAAGCGATTCATTGAAAATTTCTAAAATACCATCCATCCATACACAATAAATTACGATGTATTGTCATCGATTGTAGGCATGTGGATCTGCATAGAGAATGTTCGTTGATGAGATGTGGCAGAAAAATGCAAATTAAACAAATTATGCTCGTATTGCGAGTATATCATATGAAATATATTCACATAATATGCTCTCATCGAACAAACAGCTTAATTACTCGGACTGTGTAAGTGGTTCGATTCATATGTTCAAACGATGATTAGATCATGGAAATTGTTTTTTTTTGTGATAGAATGAAAGCATAACTAGAAGATTCTCGAATGTGAAAGAGAAATTCAAGCTCGAGATATTTTGACGGGCATTTGATCCAATGTTGAGTCATTAATGCGGTATTGAAACTGCAAGAATGCTATTCAGTGAACATTGCATTCGGTATAACCGCACAGATTTTGCTCTCAAGTAAACGATTCGTCTGGAACCCCGACCCAAAACAAATTCTTCGTATTGCTAGCATATGCGTTTCGATGACGACAGGAACGAATGGGCAGCGAGGAGCAGTGCTTTAAACGTTCAACTGATCAAATGCTAGGCGAAGAATGCTCCGTCTAGAACAGTGGCGCCCACCCTCGAGTGCTTCATTACCCCTTCGATGGTCTGGCAGGCCATTATTACCCTTCCACCGTCCCCTCCCACTACAATAATTTACTATTTCTGTGCGAACGTCAGAACTAGGTTCCCGACCCCATTCATTACCCTCTGGTACCCTTAAATCACTAAAAAAACAGGTAATTTCCTGCCCTATGAGGACTGCTGGTCTAGAATATGAATGTGTTATTCGTAAGCGTAAGGTGGGAAGGAGCGATAACGCAATTCAATGAGAACACTTCGATTAGGTTCGATTGTGAAGTGATGTATCCGTTTTATTCCAATGTGCATTTCAAGAAGTTAATTTTAATTATCGTTTTCTGAATTGATTCCTCAGCATACATTTATCTACTTGTATTACTTTCATGTTCAATAACATCAGTGCGAAAAAAAGTGCGAATTTTTACAATGTTTTCTCTAATTTCCTTAAATTGCTAAAATGATTATGGATTTTATCATTGTTCACATCGTCAAGATGTATCAAACAGACCTGGATCGCCATTATTTCTGACAACGAAATCTTTCACTTGATCCAAGAAGTATTTCGCTGCACAACAGCCCATCTAAAAATGATCACATACGATTAAATGCTGCAGTTATCAATTTCCACCATTATTTTGATGGTCAAATGGTTTTGCCGTGCGAATCATTGATACACATGCAAATTCGCTTGAATTTATGTCATGTTTTTGCGTATGCTAATCAAGTTTTTTCATTTGGCTATACTTTCTTAAACATTTCATTATTCTATTGTTATGATCTGAACAAAGCATTTGTCTGAATGCAGCGAATTCCTCACCTTTTTAGTCACTCATTCAAATTCATTTTTTAGTCACAGTCGTTAAACAATAATACCACATCTTCAGAAGTGGTCGTTAATTCTAATGGGCATTATCATCTCGCATGTGTTCATCACTACATTATCGCATCTTCGTTTCTATTATTTTGGCTGCCCTTTCTTCACATCCTATCCTCTACTCCGCACATCCGTAATACTCTCCATCCTTCACCAGCATCAGTCTAACATATTTTTCCACTCAGTCGATGCAGTGGCATATTTATCGGTGAATCCATTCAGTTTGGAATAATATAATATTTCATCTGTCAGTCACAAAGTTTAATTACTCGTGAACATCCGCGTACCGATGTGTTCTGTTTTCACATAACCTTGTTACCGCATTCACTCCCGATGAATGGCAACGACTCATAAAGTATGTGTCTGGCCATACGGAAGCAATCAGCAAATCGTTTGTGTTGTTCATTATTTGAGAAATTAACTGCAATTCCATAAGTGGTCCACCTTGCCATCCATCTATTTCTCTCGTTTTCTTTCCATCCCGTTCACGATATTGACTTCGTCAACGAACTTAAATGAGTAAAGTAGAAAATGGAATGAAGTTAGTGCATCATTAATTTGTGAAAGAAACCGATTCGTTCATNTAAACTATTAACGATTTCCTTGACTGCGGAAACGATTCTGTTTGCTGTTATCTGACCGAAAGTGCACCTCATTGAATTGCTTTTAATATCACGCCTCCTAAATAGATTACTTTCGGTCATGTTTTTGTTTCAACAGATCTTAACGAAGCGGAATTTATATGTGTTAGCGAAAATTTGCAATTTCTCCTGATGTTTCAATGCTGAATGTTCATTCAGCAGTAAAGCATCTAGAAGAATCTGCGTATTCGCATGACATTTGAATTTCTTATCGGTTCAAAATTTTCGTCAAAATCGCGCTCATTGTCAGGTAATTGACACATTCAGCGTTCACACTTAACTGTGTATTTGTGTAGTCGTTGTTGCGTAGCATTTAGAAGTCATTAAAAGTCAATCTGCTCTGTGATCATAATAATTGTTTTATTCACTTCATTGCTGCGAACGCTTCATTTTAACGCATACTGAATCAGTCAAGTGCTTATTTTGATGTTACATTTCGTGAGCTTTGATCAGTTATCAGTTCTACATTCGTATAATATTTCGAACTAATGAAGCGATTTCGAGAGCAAGCGATGCGTTAATTGTCATTCAGTGAACAGGTTTCTGTAATACACGAATCAAATTTACGAATAATCATGAAAAAATGAAATGCGTCTGGATGATAATGTCAGCTAATGTATTGTATTCAGAGATATGACCATAAGCACTTTCATTTGAGATGGATGAAAAGAATTGAATAGAGGTTATGGTTAGTACTGTAAAGGCGACATTAATCAACAGTCATGGTGATGCACGTTCGAGTTTGGTCACCAACACAAGGGCAGATCGTAAGTTGAAAGCACATTTCGAGGATGATGACCGCAATTTTGGATCGTATTTGTTCTTGATGGTGATTGTGCTGGTGGCGTTAATAATAGCAATGTTGTGGTTTGTTGCGTTGGTCGCTCGGCAACGAGACCGAGAGGAAATGCTCACTAAACTGCAACAACAACAACAACAACAACAGCGAAAACAACAGCAGCAATCAAACGATCAGCTCGACGAAATTTTATCAGAGAGGTTCGCTGCACGGTCACATCTCCAACATTTTTTTAGCAAAACATCCGGTTATATGCTCGGAATTTGTTGATGACATGCACGAATTTTCAATGCAAACATGGTCAGAAAGCGGAACGGCTAGAATAATGCAGTTGTTCAACGACATTCAAGAATTTATGGATAGCAGTGAGCGAGCATGCGCAGTATTTCCTAAGTGCCAACTGATTCAGTTCTACAGTTGGGTTCCTCAAGCAGTTCACCGTATTTTAATCGGATAGTTGATCCAGTTGCGGTTGTTGAAAAAATAATGTGATCTGTTCGTGAGGCTTTTCGAAATAAATAGCACAATATTTACTGTTGAATGGTATCTTAAAAAAACAAAAAGAAATTGTTTTTCTTGGTGTTGCAGAGACTCAAGGGATCGATATGAAGTGATTGTTGGTGAAGGTGAAGGCGGAAAGGTGAAGAGGAATCTGAAGAGACGTTGGATAGGTGCTGCTAGCAGATGGCGGAGTTTAGATGTCGAGTTGAGGAACGAACGACGAAGAAATGAAGAAAAATTCTATTTTGCACTTGGTGATCACCTAAATGCGCTCACACTTTAATGCGCTCACCAAAATCCAATGGATTACTCCTTAGCTTACCAAATAGACGACTTTTTGACTGCCAGAAAAAGCGATCTTGCAGTAGGCATTCCATATTGGAATGCATGTGAACTGGGAATCTTGCCTCAGCCACTGATACATCTTCGGAAAGGTATCAGTGACTGGAGTATGATTCACAGTTCACGTACATATTCCACTATGTATCGGTGTTGCGATATTAGGCAAAGCGATAGGAGCGTTAACCCAACATGTACAAATCTTCCAAGGCATCCAAAATCTTCGAATTCGTGCTCCCTGATCTGTCATCTCCAACTGTTTAGTTGAATCCGACCGTGTTAAGCAGCATATCTGTGTATTTACTTATGAATTGCATGATCTCATGTATTAAATCGTTTTCATTTATTAATTTTCGTGCATTTCCGTTCTTATGCAATCAGTTTAAATGTTCAGACAAAATAAAAAGAATAAAATGAGTGCTCATGATGTTCGCAGGAGAAAATCAATTATCATTGGCTTTATGTACAAAATTTGATGTGTTCCGCAATAGCGACCCATATTCCAGACTCTGATGAATTTCAACTTCCCCAAGGACCCAATTAAGTACTTTACAAAGAACATTAATTAACGAAATTTTCATTTGAAGTATTCGCATTTCAAAGAAACTATCCGTAACAGTAACAGCATGAATTCCATTAGAATGCCAAGTCGATTATCTGAAGATCTGACCGGAAAAAAAAGATCTGCGATGATTGCTACGAAATTCGGAATCGATATCCGCAAATATCGGAAAAGCAACAGTGATAATCACATTTAATGATGAAACAATCCAACTCAAAATTGTTTGCTACGAACAGACGACATCAGTTTAACGTCGATTTATTCAGTTACATCACCGAAACAGAATAATGGTCAACAAACACAAATAGCGCATAACTGACATTAAGTGAATTAAACAAGGAGGTGTGTAAACGTGGAAGGTTTACGAGAGAGGATTGTGGTAAAATTGCGCTGAAACAACCATAATTATCATCGGAATCATCATAAAAATACAAATGTTACACCAATCATTATGAACGCAGCTGAATCAATAATCCATTCGAGGTACGCTCAGCAGTAGATGGTAAGTTCTGAAGAGTCACCGCTTGCCTAAAACATGAACATAGTTTCCTTTAACGGACAAATAATTTCATTGTGCATGCGTATTTCCAATTAATGAGTAGTAGTTATTCGAAGGGGAATGAATCAAAGTAGTCAAATAGACCAAAACAGACCTGTAAGATTGTCAGACTCGCTAGTGGCTATGCTCCACTTAGGATGCGGTTGAATTGTTCGATGCATCTGAAGTGTTGTAAATCAAGCTTTCGTTGCAAACATCAATAGCAATCATCATATTTGTCCCGTGTTCGTTATGTATTTATCTTTATTGTCAATAGGGCTATGGATCAAGAATTTGAATGGTTTTTCATGCGAAGCCCGAGCGTACTACCACTGAGGTGTGTGAATATTTAATTATCCAAGTTTAAATTGAAACGAACAAACCGAAGTACTGCGCAATATAATGTCCCGATTCAGAAACAACGTTTTGATGCTTACGAGTGAACGGAAATCGAATTGAGGAGAATAGAAGTAAATGTGGGTATTTTGAGAGCAGAAGCATCCGATAAATCAAGCAGTATTATGCAAACTTACCAATTTCAGCATGTTTACACTGATTATGATCACTAAAACATTCGGTCGCATGAGTTCTGCAACGAATCGTATCGGAACTGCACTTCTCAAGGCATCTTGCTAGCAAAGTTTGGCATCCTCAAAACAAATTCATTTCAAATGAAAACATTCCGCCGTTGAGCATCAAACTCTATTTGATTCGTCTACAGTTATGTTCAGTGTTCGTAATATTTCTGTTGACTGTTTGCGTAACAGATATCGGTTAACAATTTATATCGGTTTTAACTCGAAAGCGGAGCACAATATCTTTGAGCTAGATGACTGTTTAATCATTCACGTTTGCAATGAAAAGGACAAACTAAAATCTTGCGCGACATACTGTTGCGATTCTGAGGTAACATTTTGGTGATTTCGAATGTATGGAATGAAATGTCAGTTCAGGATACTCTGAACGGTTTCAGAAAACGAATTTATTGTGTAATTCTTGGCGAAAACCAGTCCTTTGTCGAAATTGCTGATCAAATTGGGGAAACAGAAGTAAATGTACGTGCTCAGAAGCGTAAGCATCCGATAGTAAATCAGCATTATGCAAACATACCAATACATTGATTATATGTTTGCTGACAAGGCACAGTTGAACAACCCCCCGTGCTGACGCTACAACTTTCAAATACGGCAGCCTTACACGTGAGTAGATTATGATCGCATGCTAAAATTGGACATCTTTTCAATGAAATTAGCTCGTCGTTGATCATCAGACACTATTTGGAAAGAAAGTATCGGAACATCATGAGAGCATGAAGCATACGAAGTAAATGTACATGTCTCGGAGGCACAAACATCAATACATCGCTCATGTGATTGCTGACGAAATCATATGACCGATGTATTGATGTTTGTGTATTGACAAACATCCGATAGTAAATCAGCATTATGCAAACATACCAACACATTTGTAATATGACGGCCAACAATCCGACATAGCTGAACAATCCCCCGTGGTGACGCTACAATCGTGAAATCCTACATTCCTACACCTTTGTAGATCACTGCCGCAGTCTAAAATTGGACATCTTTTCAACGAAATTAGCTCGCCGTTGATCATCAAGAAAGTAGCGGCACATCATGAGAGCATGGAGCATACGAAGTATCCAGACGAGCGCTTACAACATATCCGAATTGTGCTTTATTTCATCTACGCGTTAGTTTCATGTGACACGACGATAACTTCCAGAATAGTGATCCAAAAGTGTTTAAAAATTATCATAGATGACACGAATAAACGTCTGAGGCTCACCTGTCGAAACAACTGCATTCAGATGAACTGCCAAGACCGTAAGAAGCAAATCAACCTTAATACCCATTGGTGTGGATGTAGAAGTGTTCAGTGAGTATGCTCATCAAAAAGGAAACGAATTTATAGTATTTTTAACACATGGCAAAGACCTTTTCACAATGCACTCTTTCCTATCAGTTGTCAATGAACTCAATTGATTTCTGATCATCGATGACAAATTAGGGTGGAGTCTGGTGTCCTTTAGCTACGTATTGTATAAATTTCCACGTTTGAGGTGAAACGAACAAGTTGAAGTATTGCGCAAATATTTTCCCGATTCTGCACTTTGATGCATTCGAGTGCGTAGAATAAACTGTCCGCTCAGGATGATCAGAACGGTTTCAAGAAAGGAATTTACAATATCGTGAATGGCAATAACCTCATTCCTTCATTGAAGCCGGCATACACAAGTGAATGTAGGTATTTTGAGAACGGAAGCAACCGACGGATGAAGCAGCATTATGCAAACTTATTAATTTCAACAGCTTTACACAGATCACGTCACTCTCAGAAACTGTACTTAGATGCTGATTCAAGCACGCAATGACTCAAGCTGTTTCTCTAATGTATTGTGGTATTATATAATGAATGAAGATTAAGGTCGGTATAATCGAATGCGCATCAAAACAGCTGAAATTCTGATCGCAAGCTGACATGAGCGTTATTTTCTGCGTTGATCGGAATTGCATTCAAGGAAATGTTACTGATTGCTGTCTATTAACGTTGATAATTTTCGAGGAGATTGGCTATCTGGGCGACTACTCTACTGAATCTGATGATTCTGATGCATTCTTCCATACTGATATGATAAGCTGATTGTATGGTGTGCAGATCGTCAACTTGCATCAATCTTTGAATGTGAATTCGTT